CCCCCCCCCCCCCCCCCCCACACACACACACTGTTAAGTTTCGTTTTTGACGTGCTGCACGTTTCTTCACGTTTGCAGTTTAATAGTAATAACTAATAGTTTAGTTTTTCCTGTGACTTATTTGCAGTATGATAAATGGTAGGAGCATAATATACGCTCCCAATGTTTTGTTGGTCTTTTTTTTGTAAATAATTACCTGTTTTTTGTAAATAATTACCTTTTTTTGCGGTTTTATTTATTTATTTATTTTTGTATCTTGAGATCTATGATGTCATCAAATACTCGAGTTCTACTCGGGTTTTATTATGTTAATGTCGAGTTTAAAAATTATATATTGTTCAACCCCTAAGCCACACCCACTTCACATACAGCTCAATTAGCTTCATGTGCTACACCTGTTGTCTGCCCTATTTAAGAACTCTTGTCTCACTGCTCCTTGCCAGATTATCTAATCCGTTTGGTTATAGATGTCCATCTCTTCATTGATCTTGTCTGAAACTCCTGTCTTGACCCCATGCCTGCTTTTCTGGATTTGCCTTTTTGCCTGCCTCTTGTCTGCCCTCATTCTGCTCCTCTGATCCTGGTGATGACCTTTGCTTCTGGCCCAGGACTCTGGATTTTGGATCACCCTTTGGACCTGTTTAAAGACCTCTGCCTCTCCTAAAGGACCCCATCTTTGGAAACCCCCCCCCCCCCCCCCCATTGCTATTGCAGCGTACCTCTGCAGCTGTGTCTCCACCATCTATGGTGACATCATCTACACAAGCTTTGACAGGTGTAAATCTCCATGCCTGCCTGAGAAGGTTAGTGACTATTACTTATAGCAAACAATTCCCCAAAGACCCACAAGCCACTAACACTCATATCTTTGCAGTTTTGTTCCTGCCTCTGGATCCTGACTCCCACCAGCAGCTGTAAATTAATACTTTTTTTTTTAACCTTCTTGTTGTTTGGCTGAGTTTACGAATCCTAAAAACTGATTCTTGACAGTATAATCTGGCCAAATATGGATCTGAAGCCAACACAAGAATGGTGCTCTAATGTGTAGGGAGCTATAGTAAAATTAGACGACAATATGCGGGAGATGATGAGCATGATCCGCAACTTGTCTAACCCTTCTACCTCACAGACCCCTCCGTAGGTTTCTGCAGCTCCACCGTCACCCCAGTATCATGTGTCACCTATCCACGAACCTCGCCTTACTCCGCCTGAGGTGTTTAAAGGGGAACCTAATCAGTGCTGCCCGTTCCTGACCCAGTGTGAGATTCACTTCCAGCTTCAGCCTTCGTCTTTCCCTTCTGAGATGGGCTAAGATAGCGTATGTAATTTCCTTGTTGTCAGGCAAAGCTAAAGCATGGGACACAGCTGAGTGACAATGTGACACTCTCTTTTGTTACTCATTCAAAGTCTTTTCTAAAGAACTTTGTAGGGTGTTTGATCACATTTTGCCCGAAAGAGAAGCTGCCAGGAGATTGTTTTCACTCAAGCAGGGGAGGAGGAGGGTGACAGAGTATATAATTGACTTTCACACTGTTGCTGCTGACAGCAGTTGGAATGAGGAGGCTCTGACCGATGCCTTTTTCGAAGGCCTCAATGAGGAGATTAAGGATGAGCTCGCCTCTAGAGATTATCCTGAGTCTCTTAAAACACTGTAGGACCTGGCAACGTGCATTGACTTGCGCCTCATGGACAGAAGAAGGGACAGAGGAAGCAGATTTGAAAGACCTTTTCACTCCTGGGGTGAGTCTGACCACATCACATCTAAAATCTCACCCACCTCTGTGTTAACACCTCAACAGACAGATTAACCCATGCAGCTGGGCAGGAGTTGTCTCACCCAGGAGGAGAAGGAGAAGAGGAAGAGAGTAAATCTATGCTTCTACTGTGGGAACGCAGAACACATTGTATCCAAGTGTCCGCGAAAAGACCAGACTCAGCAGAAGAGAGGAGAGTTCTGCTGAGTCATATAACGAATCCCAAGATCTCCTCATCCCTCACCCTTCCAGTCAAGATTAAAGTACAAGGAGGTAAGCACTCCTTATCTGTGTTTGTAGACTCTGGTGCAGACACTGAGTTCATTGACAGAGACTTTGCTAAGTCATTAGGCATAAAGATGGTTCCCTCAGACAAGGGACATAGGGTCATAGCTTTAGATGGACATATGTTACATCAGTCCAACCAAGAGACCAAACCCATTACTCTATTGCTCGGGGGAAACCACCATGAGCAAATAAAGTTTCTGGTCATAAATTCCCCCCAACTCCCAGTCATTTTAGGAGCCACTTGGTGGGTCAAGCACAATCCCCACATTGACTGGAGGGGCAGATACATTTTGGGGTGGTCTGAAGAATGTTTAACTTCATGCTTATTTGAAGTTGTTTCTCCCACCTCAAGTCCAGATAAAATTGTGGGGACTTATCCAGACCTCTCCAAAGTCCCCAACGAGTATCATGACCTCAAAGAAGTGTTTAATAAACTCAAGGCTGCTTCTTTACCACCTCATAGACCCTATGACTGCCCCATTGATTTA